CGCCTGGTTCAAAACGATTTTTGAGAAAGGGCTCCGTTCACACACTACCGATAATTTATTGTCATCTGTGATCACGAAGCCCTAATATCACTTGCTGAATATACAAAGCATGAATTTTTTTTAGGAATTCTTATAATCAATATAAATTTGAACTTACGTTTTGCTATCAACGATTGCTCCACCTTCGGCTATCTCCACTTCAGGACTCGTCAATCCTTCACCGAAACTTCCCATTTTTACCGGATTTGCAGACTGCTTACATTCAGTTCAATCATAGAAAAGCTTGCGTAAGAAAAAGTGCACCGGGCTTCTCCACATTCTAGCCTAAAACAATAAAAGCGGACGGTCCAATAGACGCCACAAATTAAAGGGTTTAGCATCCTGAAGGGCAGAGGAAGAGCGGGGAGCGGGGGGAAGATGGGTAAAAGGAAGCGGGGAAAGGGAACATAATCGGCTGCAAAGAAAATGAAATCCCGCTTGAAGGTACGAATTGAAAACAGAGATGGATTTACGGCAAAGAAAGGCCTCCCAGTGCTTTTCGCGCTCATCCTCGTACTCGATGCTGAGCTGAAGGCATCAATCTCGAATGCTTCACCGGCAATATCAGCAGGACAAAGAACCACAGTACTGAGATTTTCGCAGCTCGAACCCGAACCCAAAATGAATGAATATTGCGCAATTTTTGTCGAGCCGAGCCGAGTTTTAGTAATAGTTTTGGGGGCGAGAATGCCTCGATGCGATCGGTGCTGAGAACATTCACTGCTTTACAGTTACAGTTAATTTGAACCATCCTCAGCGGTCTTTGTGCTTCGGGTTCAGTTTGGCAGCACAGCGCGGAGCAGGACACACCTTTCTTTTCTTCTCTGCCTTCCGTAAACTGTTTCGATCTTTTTCTTTGTGGTGGCGACTTCTTGGCCGGCTTTTCATGGGTTTCCCGTGGGGACACAAAAAAGCAGTGGTATTGACTGAACGTGCGGAGCTCAGAATTGAGGATCGAAGGGCATGGCACCCGATTTGTACAAGCACAAAAACAAATAATTAAATTTTCACGTGTTCGTAATGATGTGATGTTTAGCTTTTGATGTAGGCAAAGTTGTTTGCGTCGATTTTGTTGCTGCATTGCGTTTTTTCGCATAATTTGTTGTTTAAATTTCATAATTTTTAAGCGATTTTGGTCGATCTCCGGCTTCGTTCGCTGGTTTTTCAACGTTGTCTTCCTGTTGATTCTGGAATCGTTTTTGGGCCCGCTTCTGCGTTTCTTCGGTAAAATTTTCCATCCTTTTTGGCTAGGTCCTGATGCCTGTCTTTCTCTCTGACCGACCTTAGCATCTGTTTTTGCTAAAGCGTGATCTGCTTATTCCTTCCGGAGTTCTCAGAAGGCATTCGGGATTGCTGATCCCTCGATACCTATTCCCCCCCTCCCCCTCATTTCTTCATTTCAAGGAAAAATGCATTTGTTCCTAATAATGGTGATTTTTAGGATCGTTCGCATGAGAAAATGTCGCAGATTTCTGGAAAAATGCGAGCCACCGACCGGACAATTTCGAGCATGAAGCCTGCAAAAAGCTTCAACGATAATCAAGTAACACACACTATCAGTCGTTGGCCCAAATTAATTACGATTTAAAGTGAGCGTATCGTTAGGTGAATGCCAGAAGACATTTTATGATGCTGTGTTTCATCCCTTAGCTGTAAACACAGGCCGAACTGTGCATGCGGATAGTAGCGGGAATCATCCGTACAGCCTCCTAACCACCATGTACTGAACAGTCATGTAACTAATTTGCAAGACGGATATACGAAAGAAAGAGGAAACAGGGAAAGAGAGAACAAACAAAGTGA